TCTCCTCCATTCTCCTCTCGGGATCTTGGGCACGCACGCACACGTGCCCAGTGTTGAGTTTTAAGCCACCGGGCCTGGGGCGTGAACCATGGTCGACTACATGGGAGTCCAGCGGCATAGCCATTACACCAACCACTGGTCCCGACAGAGCTTTCATATTGAACATCAGAGTATGTTATTTAAAAGTCAGTTACAAAATGGTGAATGATCTCTTTTCTTACACACCAAAGGTACAAAGATGAGAAAGGTGGTTTCTGCTTACGAAGTGGTTGTAACGTCATGGGGCAGGTGGGCGCGTAAATCAGCCCTTGCCTCCCAGTGGGATAAATAATGAAACAGCTGTACTCTGGGTAGTAGGATGGATAGGGCTGACGACAAGCATGGGACTCAGTGTGCACGGCAGCAGGGAAAGCTGCCTCAGAAAACTAGGTGCTTGAGGGTTTTGTTCGTTTATTTAATTATAGAGCGTGTGCATGCACATGTGAGAGAGGGGAGCACCTCCACGGGGTCTGGTCATGCCACAGTCTCCTCTCCCCAGTCCTCCAGCCTTTCACGTCTTAGACACCCTTTCGTGTCTGATGAGGTCCAGGAATCAAGCTGTGGTCGTCATGTAGGGTCCAGCTTCTCTTGAGCAGTGTACCACTGAGCCACAGAGCAACTCCAGGGATACTTGAGTTTTCTTTTAGGTTAGGGCTTCTCGGCCTCTGCACTAGTGACTTTTGGAGCTGAAAAAATCCTCGTGGAGACTGTCCTGTGCATTGCAGGATCTCCCATGGTGTCCCTGGTCTCTGTGCATCTATGACAGTGGCAGCTCCCCTCCTCTCTCAGTTGTGTTATCAAACAGTGTCTCCAGATGTGTTGCATACCCCAGAGATCCTGCCCCGCACAGTCACCCTTGGCTGAGAACGACTGGGCTTCATTCTGGACGGACAAATAGGTGTTTCATGCGGTCGGGGAGGTTCTAGGTTGTTTGTTCCAAACCAAGAAAACAACTTAGGTGCAAATGTTGGAAAGAAATTAAGGAGACTAGTACACTTCGTATCTGGCAAATACTTACGTGTTATGGAGGAATAATAAGAAATAAGGCTGGAGGGGTCGGTGGGATCCAGATCTTGTTGAGGATCTTGGACTTATCCATCATCTAGACAGGGGACGCATGAGACAGCCTGCATTAGGGAGGTAGGTGGAGCAGATGGATGAGATGAGATCTGAACCGTTGCCATGCTCTGGGGAGGGAGAATCAGGGCCAGAACCTGGTTGGTCACAGTACAGGAGTAAGAGGGAGAGGATGAATTCAACAGCTGTGGAGTCAGACAGACTTAGGTTTCACTTTACTGCACAGCCTGGGGTAAGGAATGGTGAGAAGGAGAAATAATAGGAGAAAACATACAGGATGATACATTCGTTATCTTGAAGGTGGTGATGGTTTTACAGCCTCATACAAAACTCATGTCAAAACTCGTACATTTTAAATATGTGCCATTTACTTTGTGTCACTTACACTGAAGTTACAAATAAAGGTGGGCCTCGAGGCTAGCAGGTAGTGTGAGGGCTAAGGTGCAGGATCCCACATGGCTGACTCCATGGTTCAAGTCCCAGACCTCGTGGCTTAGAAAATATGTCCAATGCATGTGTGTGCACATGTAAAGTCCTGAGCGGGAATGAAAGCTAAGGGATTGCAGTGTGGCCATCCCCTCGGGGGAAGGGTGATTTCTCACTTTCCCTCTCTGTCTGCCTCCAGTGAGTGCACGTACCCTATGGCAAAAATCTAAAAGTAAATAAATAAATGCAGATGGACCCAGCTTCAGTGGCACAGACGATAGGGCAGTGCTGCACAATACATGAGCCACGTGAGAGGCCCAGGTTTGAGGCCTGGGTCAACCTGAACACAATTAGAGTCACCCATGGTTCTTGCTGTCGGGGAAGCTCAGGGGGGAGGTCATAGAGCCTCTCAAGGAGCCTCCCCACTGCTATGAAAGAAGTAAATAAAAATAAAGGCATTTGGGACCAGCAGTTACCATAATGGCTATGTCGTTGGACTCCCATGTAGTCAACTGCGGTTTGAATCCCAGACCTGGTGGCTTAAACTCAGGCTGGTCGCGTGTGTGTGCGTGTCCAAGATCCTGAGAGGAGAATGGAGGAGAAGGGATTGCAGCATGGCCATCCTCCCTGGCGGGTGATTTCTCGCTTTCTGTCTTTCTGTTTCTTTCTGGCGAATACACGCACCCTATAGCAAAACCTCTTTTAAAAAAAAAAGTCATTTATGTTTGCTGTCTGTGTTTAAATATATATCCTGGCCCAACCACCATGGCACAGGTAGTAGCGTGCTGCTCTGCACTGCAGGAAGCCACATGATTAACTCTGGGTTCAGACTCCAACTCAGAGTGAATCAGGGCTAGCACACGTGCACCCAAGATCCTGACTGACTAGGGAGCTGAGGGAAGGAGATCATGTGACAAAACCCCATCTATTTTTGTATCTTTGTCTGTCTCACATGCATTTACATGTATGCACTCTCAAAGGAAAGAAAATAAAATTTAAAAACATACATATATACACATGCTCTTTAATGGGGGGAGAGTTATGGGGCATCACTTACTTTTTTAGCTTGTGTATTGTTTCATTTTTTGGAAAGGTTTTTTGCTATAGGGCGTGTGCGCTCACCAGAAAGATAGAGAGAGACAGAGACAGAAAGTGAGAAATCACCCCCCGGGGAGATGGCCACGCTGTAATCCCTTTTCCTCCATTCTTCTCTTGGGATCTTAGGCACGCATGCACGTGCACCCGGCGTGAGTTTAAGCCCCCAGGTCTGGGACTCAAACCACACTTGACTATGTGGGAGTCTAGCAACAGCCATTACACCAACCGATGGTCCCAAATAAAATAATTCTTTAAAAAAAAAAAAAAAGCCAGTTCTGTGGGCTACTGGTTAAAGGAGTCAGGATACCACATGGCCAAGTGTGGTCAGAAACCTGGCCCCAGTAACTTGAAAAGCATACCAGGGGGTCTGGCAGGTGGCGTGGTGGTTTAGGGTGCCAGACTCCCACGTGGCCAACTGCAGTGCGAGTCCCTGACCTGGCAGCTTGCTTTCTTACTTGCTCGCTCTCTCTGGTCAAATTAAAAATAAATAAATAAAAGGTTTAATAAAATAATTCTTTAAAAAAAAAAAAATAGAAGTCAGGAGTGTGTGCATGTGTGCCCCAAATCCCAATAAGATGGAGAAATGGAGAAGGGATTGGGGCATGACCATGCTCCATCAGGGACATTTTTCTGTTTTCCCTTCTCTCTCGTGAGTGCATGTACCCTTGGCAATTAAAAAGACAAAAAACAAACTTATGTTTACATTTTGGTGGATGAACTTCCAGAGCGAGCCTGAAATCATAGGAATCAATATTTTAGATACCAAAGAGAAGGCAAGACCTTTCTGTGTCCAAGATCCACAGACT